GAGTCCTTAAAAGTTCTTGATGATCTCCTAAGATAATTTCATGAGCTAACTTAAGAGTGTTTAGTTCTTTAGTTAGAAACTCAATCTTCTCCTTATCATTGTCATTCGTTTTATCTTGATTAGCATGATTGATCGACGTTTCATCATAGTATTCATCACTAGAGTTGTCAACATGTAAATCATCATCACCTAACAAGTCATCTTCATCACTATTGAAATCAACATACTCGGGGTGTGATACCTTTGGGCCTTTAGCCATGAAGCATCTTCCAAGTCCTTCATTTGGTGAATCAAATATGTCATAGGAGTTGGTTGACACAAGTGCTAGACCGGCAACACCTTCATCTTGAGTATATTCGGAGTCGGAGTGATAGCTTCTCTCGGAGTGATTGTCGGAGTCGGAGCCGGATACCCATTCACCAACATGAGCTTGATGTCTTCGTTTTGTGTAGCTCCTTGATGACTTGTCCTTCCTTTCTGAACCCTTGCTTCTCCAGGATGTTTTTCGTTCATAACGATCATCTCTACTCCTTATCTCTCTTGATGGTGATTCTTCTCTTCTACTTCTTCTTTTTGGAGAATCTTCTCTTTTCTTGTAGGGTGCCGTACACTCATTCGAATAGTGTTCGGGTCTTCCACAATTGTAGCAATTTCGCTCTCGACTAGAAGATCTTTTGTCATTGTAGGACCTTGACTTGGAACTTCTCTCTTTACTTCTACTCTTGTAGAACTTGTTGAAGTTCTTCACCATTAGGCTCAATTCTTCATTGAAGGTTTGTTTCTCACTTGATGACATGGGAGCTTCACATGAGGCTTTGTAAGCACCACTTCACTTGTTATGGAGCTCCTCCTTATCCTTGAGTGACATCTAATGAGCAATAATTCTTCCAATGACTTCCGTTGGCTTGAGATCTTTGTAATTGGGCATCATTTGGATCAATGTGCATACGATATCATATTTTCCGTCCAAAGCTCTTAGGATCTTCTTGATGATGAATTTGTCGATCATCTCTTCACTTCCTAAGTCGGCGATCTCATTTGTGATAAGAGCAAGCCTACAGTACATTTCAGCGACACCTTCACCATCCTTCATTTTGAACTTGTCAAGCTGACTTTGAAGCACATCCAACTTGGATTCCTTGACGGAGTCGGTACCTTCGTGCATATCAATCAAAGTATCCCAAATTTCCTTTGCATTCTCAAGACCGCTGATTTTGTTGAATTCTTCGGGGCACAATCCGTTGAAGAGGATATCACAAGCTTGAGCATTGTATTGCAGCATCTTCAACTCTTCCACGGTAGCTTCATGGTTTAGTTCTCTCCCATCAAAGAATTCACCTTGCAAGCCAATACACACAATAGCCCATACGGCGGGGTTATGTCCAAGAATATGCATTTTCATCTTATGCTTCCAACTAGCAAAATTAGTACCATCAAAGTAAGGACCTCTACGGTGGTAATTTCCCTCGCTAGACGCCATACTCTCCTAGGTTGTGAAACCAAGGCTATGACTACGTACCAAAAGCTATGGAACTCAAAGCAAATGGAGACCAAAGCTCTGATACCACTTGTAGGATCAAAAGTATGTCTAGACGGGGGGTGATTAGACTACTTGACCAAATAAAACATATCCTTTTCCCAATTTTAGTTCTTGGCAGATTTTAGCAACTTTGGACAAGTCAAGCAATCTTAACACAATTCAAGCAAGCATGCAAAGAGTATATGAGCAGCGGAAAGTAAAGCATGCAACTTGCAAGAATGTAAAGCGAAGGGTTTGGAGGATTCAAATGCAATAGCAGACACGGATGTTTTTGTCGTGGTTCTGATAGGTGGTGCTATCGTACATCCATGTTGATGGAGACTTCAACCCACGAAGGGTAACGGTTGCGCGAGTCCACGAAGGGCTCCACCCACGAAGGGTCCACGAAGAAGCAATCTTGTCTATCCCACCATGGCCGCCGCCCACGAAGGACTTGCCTCACTAGGGTAGATCTTCACGAAGTAGGCGATCTCCTTGCCCTTACAAACTCCTTGGTTCAACTCCACAATCTTTTCGAAGGCTCCCAAGTGACACCTAGCCAATCTAGGAGACACCACTCTCCAAGAAGTAGCAAATGGTGTGTTGATGATGAACTCTTTGCTCTTGTGCTTCAAATGATAGTCTCCCCAACACTCAACTCTCTCTCACAGGATATGGATTCTGAGGAAAGAAGATTTGAGTGGAAAGCAACTTGGGAAACATTAGAGATCAAGATTCATATGGTAGGAATGGAATATCTTGGCCTCAACACAAGTGTAGGTGGTTCTTTCTCAGAAAAAGTAAGTTGGAAGTGTAGGTTCGTTCTGATGGCTCTCTTCACGAATGAAGAGGAGGTGGAGGGGTATATATAGCCTCCACACAAAAACTAACCGTTACACACAACTTGCCAAACTCGATGGGGCCGAATTGATAAACTCGGTCGGATCGATTCAGCAAATCTAGTGACCGTTAGGATTTTCGGTGGGACCGACATGCAACTCGGTAGGACTGATATGGTTAGGGTTAGGGCATAACATAATATCGATGAGACCGATTACACAAACTCGATGAGACCAATTTTGGTAATAAGCTAACCAGAGAGTTGGTCAGGTAAACTCGGTGGGACCGATTCGCTCATTTCGGTGAGACCGAAATGTTACGAAAGGGAAACAGAGAGTTTACATTGCAATTTCGGTGGAACCGATCGCTCATCTCGGTGGGATCGAAACGTTATGAAGGGAAACAGAGAGATTACAATCCAATCTCATTGAGACCGAGATCCCTATCGGTGAGACCGATTTGCCTAGGGTTTGTGGCAGTGGCTATGACATCTGAATTTGGTGGCGCCGGATAGAAAGAATCGGTGGGGCCGAGTTTGACTTTCGGTTTAGGTCATATGTGGATGTGAAAAAGTAGTTGAGGACTTTGGAGCATATCACTAAGCATTTTGAGCAAGAGCCTCATCAAGTAACAGCTCATCCTTCCTTGATAGTATTGGCTTTTCCTATAGACTCAATGTGATCTTGGATCACTAAAATAGAAAATGTAGAGTCTTAAGTTTTGAGCTTGAGCCAATCTTTTTGTCCTTAGCATTTTGAGGGGTCCATTTTTCTCATCCATGCCATGCCAATCATTGAGCTTTCCTGAAATATTAATCTTGAAATAACATTAGCTCAATGAGCTATATGTTGTTATGAATTACCAAAACCACCTAGGGATAGTTGCGCTTTCATCCGCCGAGAGGGGCCCGTAGTATGCGAGGCCCGGCTGCCGGCGGGGAGAAGCTGAACGCCAGAGGAGCTGGATGAGGGGTGGAGTGGGTTGCGGCCGGTGGAGGACCCAGCCTCACGGTTATGCTTTTGCGCGTGTCAGGGATCAAGAAGGCACGTGGATCCGCCCGCGTGTGCGCGTCCCTTAGGTGTCCTTCTGGACCGAACGCCAAACAGACATATTTTACGGTTGTGAGCGTGCGCCGAAGGGTCCCACATTTCCTATTTGGCCTGGCGCGAGGAGAATCGAAACCGGGATCTCACGTACTCGATATTAAGCACAAACTACTCGACCACAAAGCCTCACGTGTTAACTTCTCCCTTTCCTCCCTCTTTATCTTTCTTTTTTCCTTTTATTGTCTTTTTCTTTTTTCTTTTCTTAAATTTTGTGAACTTTTTCCTAAAATCAATGAACCTTCTCCAAATTTGTGAACCTTTTTCATAATCGTTGATTTTTTTTAAATTCCATGAACATTTTTTATAATCGATGAATGTTTTCAAATTTGTGAACTTTTTTTTCACAATCGATGAACTTTTATTTCAAATTTTAGGAACTTTTTGAAAAATTGATAAACTTTTTGCAAATTTGTGAACTTTTTCATAATTGATGATTTTTTTCACAATCGATGAACTATTTTCAAAATCGATGAACTTTTTTATTTTTTCAAATTCATGACTTGTTTTCAAATTTGTGAATTTTTAAAAATGTTTGAACTTTTTTCAATACATGATTTTTTTGCATGTTCGTGGAATTTGCTTTTGAAATCTGTGAACTATCAAATTTTTGGTTCACATTAAAAAAACATGTTTTCTGCAATAAATAGCACGTCTGGTGTTGTTCTTAAATGGTTCGCGATGTAAATAGTCAGTAGCACGTAGTAGCTCGAGTGGTTAGCTACTCGTGAATAACCATTTTCTGCGGTGTTTTGTAGCGCTGCGATGCGCGTTGATGGACCGACCCAGAAGACACTGCCGCGAGCGCCCGTTGCGTTCCGTGGCACAGAAGGCGCGGATTAGGAGCTATTTTTTAGGGAAGATTAAGGAGCTGATTTTGATCACGGTCTTCCCCGGCCCGCTTTAGATCAGATCAACTGGCAACCTGGCCTAGATTATAGCTGGCCAAATGGGCCATTTTTTTCGGGCTGGCCCGTGAGCATGCTGGCACGCCCTGCCTTGGGCCAAGCACGACACAGGCTAAACGGGCCGGGTCTGACACGCGGCACGCCCTGGTCCGTGCCTGGGCCTGGAGGCTGGGCACGCGGGCCGGCACGGCATATGGCCCGATTACATTTTTTAATTTTTTTATACATCTATATATGGCCCAACATGTAAAAATAGGCTAAAAAACGCTCAGTGCGTCAAATAACAGGCTGAAAATATGCGGCCCACCGTGCTAAACGGGCCAACGTGCCGGCCTGTTTACTAACTGGGCCGTGGGGTCTGGGGGCACAGCACGCGGGCCGGCACGGCACGGCCCGTATAGTAATCGTGCCCTGGTGAGCCGTGCCGTGCCGGGCCAGGCACGATTACGATGGGCCGGCCCGCTCGGCCAGGTATGGCCTAGATGGCCCACCTGTAGATCTCCACCCACCAGTTTTCCCTTTTTTCTAGAACAAAACCCAACACTAGTAGAGTAGGTCACCAGCCTAAACGCTCCGCGGCCATTTGCTTTCGATCTGCGCCTCCAGTCCGCGGTGAAGGTTGCAGAAGCCATGGATTCGACGGAAGCCCTGCCGGACGACGCGCTCGCAAACATCCTCCGCCGCCTCCCGGCATCCGACCTCGCCGCGTCCTGCTGCGTGCGCAAGGCGTGGTGCGCCATCGTCGACGCCCACCGGCTGTTGCTTCCGCACTTTCTCCCGCGTGCGGTGCGCGGCCTCTTCGTCAACTACATCGACTACGACCGCCCGCGCTTCTTCACCCGCCCCTCGACGGAGCGGCCCGCGATCAACGGCGATCTTGGCTTCTTGCCTGGGTACAATTGGGATTTCGAGCCAATTGTGGATCACTGCAACGGCCTCCTTATCTACGGCAGTGAGTGGAGGGCGTTCTGCGTGGTCAACCCTGCCACAAGACGGTGGGAGCGTCTCCCACGCCTTGATGCCAAGAACTACAACACGTACCTCGTGTTTGATCCTGCCGTGTCACCGCATTACCAAGTGTTTGCGATTCCACAGGTGCCCGAGAAAGTTGTTCCAGTCCAACCACAACCAGTGCCCGACAAGAAGCCACCAACACCCTTCTGCCTCACTGAGTTTTTCTCGTTGTTTGAAGATACACCAGAAGTACTCACCAAGGACTTGGAAGAGGACTGCGAAGATGGACCATCGGAATTGTCACCGGAACAAACCATTGAAGAGGACATACCCGCACCGTCACCAATTGAGGTTCCAGAAGACCCACTAATTGAGGATCCAGAAGACTTGGTAGAATTTCCACCATCCTCATGGATGCTAGACGTGTTCTCGTCTAGTACAAAAGAATGGCAAAAGAGGTTGTTTGTCCGTGAAGGTGAGGCTTTGGACACGGTGGCTACTATACGGCTGGATAGATTGGAACCAACATTTTATGGGCCGAGGTGGCGCTACGGTGTCTACCGGCGAGGAGCATTCTATGTGCATTGTCGTGGTGCATTTGTTGCAAGGTATACATCGTAAAAATGCTTACAAAGTTCCCTTAATTTTTAACTCTAGCATTAGTAGTGGCTTTCTCAGGGGATGTGTCGACACAAACATTGCATCATATCTAGCACTGATAATGTTCTTATTTGCAGGTTATCCTTAAAGGATGGCAAGTACCAACTAGTGAAAACACCAATAGATATCGAGGAAAGCAAGCGTGCACAACCTTATCTGGGGAAATCAGAAAAAGGGGTTTACTTTGCAACAATTCACGATGAATATCTATTTCGGGTTTGGATTTTAAATGAATCATGTTGTCAGATATCTTGGGCATTGAAGCATCACATTGATCTTAACCCATGGGCAACGATATATTTGAACCAGCCTAAGGGAATTGACAAAACTTGGTTCTTATATGGTGATAATAATGAAGATGGAACCAATGGGGATGAGAATTTTGAATGGAACTCCGATGACGATAACGTTCTGAATATTGAAGATGATTATGAACCTTTCTACAGCCATGTTTCTATCCTCGGATTTCACCCCTACAAAGAGATTGTTTTCTTAGAGGTATCATCATTCAGAGTAGTGGCTTATCATCTGAATAGCTCAAAAGTTCAGTACCTGGGCAGATTACGCCCAAAGGATTATTATCAGTCATTTACAAATGGCATATATGAATCATTTCTGTACACCCCTTGCATGATTGGGGAGCTTTCAGAACGTGCTTGAGATTATTCCTTCACTGCTTGGGTTGGGATCTGGAGATTTAGGTGGAGGGGCAGGGGTGACGATCGCAAGGAGCCAGAAGTTTAATCAGATTGATGTTGCGGGGTTTTGTTTTTGGAAAGAGCTCGAAGCATAGAAGTGAGAATTTCAAAGAAGTCGCTAGAAAATAGGATAACCAAATTGGACAGAACTTACTCGGAATTTCCATTTCGTAAACTTCCTTGGTTATTTTGTGCACCTGATCATCTTATGAGTACATTCATCATTTGGGCAAGCGGTGACATTTTACATACTTTTTATGCAGTTGATTGAGTTAATTGTTTCTTCGTCTACGGTTTAAATACCAGGACATGTTCTTATTTCATGTCTACTTTTGGTCACGCTCTTTGTTCACTTTTGAACATACACAAGTAGATATGTGCGTGCCACTGAAATCTGAATCCTAGTCAAATTCTGCACCCTACTGAAATCTATGGTGATGTGTCCGAGCTGTTGTTTTTTACTTAACGCTAATTATTAATTGATTAGGTCCATCTTTGGGCTAACCGCTGCATACCCGGCAACAATGTTAATGAATCATGAAGCCCGTTAGTGGATTAGTGTGTTCAGTTCATGTCGTGTATGTCAGTTTCTTAAATTAGTTTCTGAAGCTTAAGTTTTAGATTTAGTTCCAAAACCGGGACTATCCAATGTCTATGTACCTTGAATTGTCAACATAGGCTTAAATACGCAATTTTTCTTCAATGGCTCTACACAAATTTTGGCAAAAGGGGCAGTCATAACAGAAACCTATGCCGTGCATTGAGACAGTTGCTTCGTACACATGAATAATATCATTGCGCCCATGTTTGCTTTTGGTTCTGTTTGGGTATAGCGGTATGCGATTCATTTCTATTGCCTTCATTGGTGGAAGGTGTAAGCTAGTTAGCTCAACATTTTCACTGCCGATCGTTTTGCTCTGCAATCTGAAAGGGCAAGGGCCGGCCTGAACATGGAGCTTCAACAGCAAACCGGGTAAAGTTCTTCCGATGACATGACTTTCATCTTGCGTTCTTCAGGCTATCAAAATCATAAGAACATCATTATGCATCCTACTGAAATCTTCGGTTGACATTTAGCATCTGTGGCCAGCCTGAGGTAGTTCAGTAGTTGCACTGTTCTTTTGATGAAAGCCAGCCGGTGACGAATTGCAAGTATTCGGTTTGTATACAACTTTGTTTATGAATATTATTTCCAAATTAGCTATAACACATCTTTGTTGTACACATGAACTTATTAGCAATTTTTCACAAAAGAACATGGAAATATATATTCATTTTTGAATAGTCAAAAAATGATAGCCCTTGAATACACCAAACCAAGTAAACTGCAATCCAAGGAAAACAATCGCAAGATAGGCATCCTAAACGGCTCTAGCTAGTCTTGATGTACAAACTCCCTCGAGGGCTTTTCCAGCTGCTTCATCACTACCACACGGTAAAGAAGCTCCGATGACTCGCTCTGTTGTCTGCAGTAACCTTTTGAATCAAAACTCTCACAGCACGGCGACAACTTGCGCTTGAATTGCTTGGATAGCTCTTGTCCTTGGCCTACATGCACATCAAATGAAATTGTTCATATGCAGTTCAACCACACAATCAAATGCATCTATTATAAATCTTATAATAGTGGATTAAAGAGAAGAAATCTTATACTAGTGGCGTTGACACTTGCTGATGCATGCATGTACATACCTGGCGCATTATCCACAATATTAGTGAAGGTGGGGTATAGGTTGACAATGTTGACATTTTTCTTTGCTTCCATCACTTGTTTTAGGTTATTGTAATGGACGGATGCACCCAAATTTCCAAAGACATCGCAGGCCGTGTAATTGTCGGTTCATCTTTGTGATGGTGTGCAGCCGACAAGGTGCAAGTTGTTCACAAGAACTTTTTTCACTCCAAGCTTCTGCAATTGCTCTACATTAGCCACAACACCTTGATATAAGTATTGATCTGCATATATACATAAAATGTTGGATTAGCTTCTGCAATTGCTCTACATTAGCAATTCAGATATGTCGACGAGCAGATAAATGTTGGATTAGTCATTGATCTGCTGCTAGCTACTTACATCGTCGGGGGTAGCCAAGCCAGGCCAGTCAGGCCGGCGCTTGCGTAGTAGTTGCTGCCTGAGATAGCCATGAGTGCCACGGAGGGACTGAGTTGCTGCTCTGAAATTGTCCCATCTTGAACCATCTTCGTAAAAGTGTCCACCTGCTTGGCGAGGTTGGGGATCCTCTACGTCGACGTCGTATCGAACACACCAGAGTCACCATAAGCGATCACGAGAATATTCAATTACAAACAAGTTGTTTGAGCAAATTATTAGTCATCATTGAGTATCTGTTGTTTAGCCAGGTAAAAATATGTGGAAGGTTCTCCATATCTCTTTTATACGCCTTAGAAAATATGAATGTCGCTGGCTCGCATTCATACGCGGGATGTGCTCCTGCGCAAAACCATCTTGACGGTGGCGGAGGCTGGGTGTCCTTGTTGCACGGCCGCGCTTGAGACTGCGAACCACCTCATCTTCGGCTTCCCTTTTGCGGTCCAGTTCTGGCAATGCCTTGGCGTGTCGACAGAGGGAAGAACGGTGGAGTCCATCCACCGCCTGGACGCGTCCCCTGCGGTGGGGATGGCGTCGCCTGCTGCCTTCATCCTCCTCTGTTGTTGGAGGCTTTGGAAGCGACGGAATGCTGTTGTCTTCTGCAATGACGACGACATGCTCTGGCGCGCGAGGCTGGCCCCCGGCGACCGTGCTCATATTGATGTCTGGCTATCTGTTCTTGGGGTTTGAGTAGTTCAGCCCCCCCTCTCTCTCTTTGTATATCTGATCACTCTGGGCTTTGGTC